ATTGGGAGGTTCCTGTCCTTGCAGGGACCCATGGGAGATAGCAATGGGGAAATGCCTGCTGGGTTAGCATGGGTTTCATGTTTGCGTCGGGTGAGCTTTGTCATGCCATAGGAGCTGGCCTGCTTGGGAATGTGGCGTAATCTCTCTGCTCCTGATCCCAAGAAGGTCAGATAACAGCTGGGTTTAGCCTGGCCATGTGGAACTTTCACTGAGTGGCCTCCTTTTGGTGTTCAGACTGGTTTCTGGGGGCCCAGTACAGCACCTTGGTCCTGAACAATGGCCTCCTGTAACTAGTGTTCTGGGCTTTTTTGTGGCACTGGGGATTGAACGTAGGGCCCATGTGCTAGGCCGGCATTCTCCTGCTGAGCTACACCCCAGCTCTGTAACCAGGAGCAGGAGACAGAGCCAGGTTTCCCGTGCGGGAAGCAGTGGAGGAGGAGGAGGAGGAGGAAAGCACAGGAGCCGTGGAGGGCGGCAGCCAAKGACCTGCCAAGGACTTGTAAGTGGGCCTGGTGCTCCAGAGTTGCCGTGCTTAGCCGGGCCACGTGGCCCATCTTGCTCAGTGTCCACATGGACAGCTCCTCCCAGGATGCTCTCAATGTCCCAGCCCTGGTATATCTGGCAGAGCAGGTCATGGGCAGCAGGAACCACTCTCTCCAAGGAGCCCAGCCAGGAGCTCCCATCCTATTGGGAATGGGTTGGGCACGGTTCGTGGGAGGGCCACCTGGGAAAGCCATCTGAAGAAGGCCCTGGGGCAGTGTCCACATACTGGGCATGCGTAGGGAGGGTCTGGGACTCCTGTGCCAGCCAGACCACGACCACCACAAGGCCCTGGCAGGCCAGATCAGGGAGTCAAAGAAGGGGACAGAAAATGGGACACATAGCTGAGGGGATGGCAAGTCCAGGATCACTACCACATCCACCTCTTTGCTCAGCAAATGGCCAGGCGCTGTGCTGGGCTAACGGTGGGAAAGGCCAGTGTGTCAGTTACCTGTGGCTGCTTAACCAGTGACCCCAAGACAGGCAGAGAACAGCAGCAAGCATTTCTTTCCTCTTTTTTTTTTGTGGTACTTGGGGATGAACCCCGAGTGCTCTACCACTGAGCTAGGCCTCTAGCCCCTTTTATTTTATTTATTTATCGGAGTCAGGGTTTCACTAAGTTGCAGAGGCTGGCCTGGAACTTGCAATCCTTCTGCCTCGGCCTCCCAGGTAGCCAGCATTACAGATAGGTGTGTACTCCCACACCTGGCAGCGACAATCATTTCTTACCTCTCAGTTTCTGCAGGTCAATAGCCCAGGAGCAAGAGGACACAATGATACACACCTGTAATCCCGGAGACCCAGGAGGCTGAGGCAGGAGGATCACAAGTTCAAGGCCAGTCTGGCCAACTTCAGCTGAGAACTTGTCTCAAAAAAAGAAAAAGAAAAAGAAAAAAAAGAAAAAAACGGGGGAGACTATGGATGTAGCTCAGTAGTAGAGTGCCCTGGGTTCAATCTCCAGTACCAAAAAAAAAAAAAAAAAAAAGGAAGAAAATTGTGGGTGACACAGACTCTAACACAGATCACTCTGAGGACACCATGCTGAGTGCAGAAAGCAGCATGGAAGGACAAACACCGTGTGGTCCTGCTTGCCGAGACCCCTTGAGCAGCATCAGAGAGCAAGCTGGAGCACACGGTTTGAGGAGCACGGGAATCAGCATCTGCTGTGGACAGGGTCAGTTTGGGGAGTGAATGTGCTGAGTGCCCCAGACTGTGTACCTGAAAATGGCCGAGAGTATGTGCATTTTACCACAATATGGAAGGTGAGCAGCCAGGCCCCAAAACTTATTCTCTTGTTGTTTTGGGCGGTGCTGTGGATCGAACCCAGAGCCTCCTGCGAGCTCTGGGGGCCACACCCGTCCCCTCCTTGTGGTGTGAACCAAGGTGAAGCTCTTTGCTGCTGGTCTGCACCCTGCCCACACCGTGGTTTGCTGACAGCCAGCCCTGAGGTCTTCCTCCTTGCTTCAAGATGTTCTACACACACACACACACACACACACACACACACACACACACACACTCATGTCACACCAGGGGTTCTGGGCTCACCGCTGCTGTGAGGCAGTGGGAAGCCGTTGCTTCTCCACATGCAGAGCCTTTCCCCAGCAGGGAACAGGAGCCCCCGTGCTGGGGCATCTTGCCACTTGTGCTGTTCCCCTAACCTCCTCCGTTTCGACCATTCTGCATTTTCTACCAAGGTCGGGGAGCCCACTGGGAAGAGTGTGGGAGGCATTCTGGGTGGCCCAGGAGGCATGAGGGGGGATGGACAGCCATGGCCACAAAGACACACTTGTTCCCAGACACAGGCAGGCCTTGTCTGTGGAGCTGTTTGCTGGTGGCACAGCGGGGCACAGAGTGATGGCCCCTGGCCATCCCATCCACAAAAGGGTGTTGCTGGGTGCGTGACTGGAGCCCCCTCCCCCCGCAGATCTGGGATCAGAGTCTTGCCCAGTGTGGGTGACCCCTCCCCTCCTCCTYGATCGGATCCTCTGCCTGGGCCCCCCGGGGGCTTGCACGGCCAGACACCCCCTCCTTCCTGTTGGCCTGTGGGGAGGGGAGGCCAGTGTGGTGAGGGGTTAAGGATGAGCCTGTTGGACTGAGGGAAACTGCATTTGAATCCCAGTTAGGTAGCCTGGTTCCCCTGTGTCTTGCGCTTGGTCCAGGCTGGCATCTCAGGGCCAGTGTTTTGTGTGTGGTCATAAATGCACCCTCGGGGGCTGGGGCTGGGGCTCAGCGGCAGAGCGCTGGCCTAGCAGGCACGAGGCACTGGGTTTGATTCTCAGTCCCACAAGAAAATACACAAATAAAATAAAGGCCTTCTGTCCCTCTACAACTACAAGAAAAAATTCAAAAATAAATAAATGGTCACCCTCTAGTTTGCAGACCCTGGAGAGTGACAGCCTCACATTCGGGGTCAGCAGCCAGGGGAGCGTGCAGGGCCAACTGCCCTAACACTGTGTGACCTTTGACCCACTCCTGGGCCGATGGGGTCAGTGGCTCTGTCCTGCTCTTGAGGAGGGTCATGTCAAGTGGTGGAAAGTCCCTTGGAAAACACAGGGACAGGGCTGGAGCACTTGTCTACCATGTGTGAAGCCCTGAGTTCGATCCTCAGCACCACATAGAAATAAATAAAGATTTTTTWAAAAAATCTTAACATGAAAAAACAAGAAAACACTGGGACGAGTCCTGGGAGCCCGGAGGCTAAGCCTGCAGGTSGAGCCAGGGCACCCCCAAACCAGCTGCTCCTGACTGGGGGCGGCTTAGGCCTCTGGGTCTGGTGCTCAGGGCCTCCTGGCTGTTCAGGGAGCAGCCTGGGGAGGGAGCTTCTGAGGAAGCAGGTACAAGTCCTGCGGGGGCACTGGGACCCAGCCTGGAGACAGCAGCCAGAACCCCTCCCAGGCTGCTGCAGGACAGCCCTGCTGGTACAGGTGGGTGGGAGATCCTGTGGAGTGGCTGCCAGGGCCTGGTGGTCTCCAGCCAACCCCGAGGTCAAGCCTCCCTAGTCCCACAGAGGTCTCTTTGGAGCAGGTGGAGTCCAGGGCCCCACCATCTCTTGAAGGAGCAGTCTGCCAAGCAGGAAACCCGTCCCTAACCCACTGCCTGTGAGGCCCAGCTCCCTATCTCTGGGGTCGTAGCCCAGGCAAAAGCCACCTCTGCTGGCCTTGGAGGGAGGTGACTGCCACATCCAGCTCATAGTTCAAAGGACATGGGACGTCCCCAGTTCCCTTTGGCCATATCCTGCAGGAAACACTGGGCTCAAGGTGCCTGCCTGGGACATGAGGCGGAGCTTTGGAGGCCCAGGGGCCAGGCCTCTACTCAACCAGCAGAGGACACAGCCTCTGCAGCTCAGCCCCACAGGTGCAACCCGCTCCCTGTAGTCAGCCCCACTCATTGCACTGGGATCCCTGATGGGGTCCAAGGCCACTCCACCCCAGGATTGGGTCCCCAAGCTTTCGGACACAGGGTCACTTCCCTCAACCAAGTCCAGTGCTGGGGCAACCTCTGGCAGCCACCTCGTGCAGCACCCAGAGCCACCAGCAGAGGGTGCCAAAGGCTTCCTCCAAGGTGGGGCTCCGGGGAGCTCAGGGGAAGATTGGCCAGGCAGGCAGTACCCACTGCAGAGAGGGGCAGGAGAAACCACGGATACCACCAGCTGATGGTGAGCTGGGACTCACAGGTTCTAGGCTCTCTTTCTGATGCCTCTCTCAGCTTGAGTGTCACTTGTGACACACCCCTCCTGGACAGACCTGGCAAACCTGGCTCACTCCCACCTGGCATGTGCCCCACGAAGGCCAGACTGGGTGATGGGCTTTGGGCYTTCTGGACATCTGGCCTGGGATGATGCAGTGAGCAGAGCGGGTAGGTGTGGCGGGGGACAGCTTCCTGGGCCCCTCGCCTCTCAGAAATGTCCCCTCCGCTGGGGGCCTTTTTGAATGGGTATAGAGGTGAGGGGTCTTCCTTGGCAGGTTCCACCCACCTGGCCATGGCCAGCCCTCTGCCTGACAGCTCACAAAGAGGTGCAGACTCCTGTGTCTCTAATAAAATGTGAAACTGGGCTGGGGATGTGCTCAGTGATTGACTGCCTCTGAGTTCAATCCCTAGTTCCCTCCCCACCAAAAAAAAAAAAAAAAAAGAGATGCAGCTTCAGGAGGCTCTAGGAGACAGACAGGTGGCTTCCAGGAGAAACTGGTTTAATAATGTGGCCTTAGAGCCCCCACCCTCATTTCTGGATGTGAGGCTCTGTCCAGGGCTCTAAGATCACCAGTCACCAGCATGCAGTGCTTAGCTGGCCTGAGATGTGGTCAGAGAAAGTTCCTGTCTGGGCTCTGCTGGATGGGAGTGGGTGTCTACAGCCCTCGCTCCTTGCTCTTTGAAAGGGTGACGGCACAGCATGCCCCTAACCGGTGGGGCAACCATGRCTTCCTGTCCTGGAGCCCCTGCAGGCAATTTTTTGGGGACAGCATCCTGCGGGGGACAAACCTGGAGTCCAGGTCACCAGCCTAACCAGCCTGGAGCTCTGGCCCACCTGAGACAGGTGGGAACAGCTGGGAGCAGGTGCATATGAAATCAAGCAGCAGGTGGTGAGTGTCAAACTCCAGAGGCCAGGAGCCAACATCAGCACAGGGAGGCCAGAGAGGCCCTGCCCACCTGGGGAGTCCTGTGGCCTAGGGCTGATGGATGGAGGCTGGCACTGCCAGGTGGCAGGTTTGGCTGGGAGAGGCCTTGGTTTGGGTGGGTGAGTGGCTTGCAGCTGAGAGGCCATCCATGGCATGGCTCAGCCTGAGGATAAGCCAACCGCCTAGAGGCAGATGAGCACCCCATCCAGCCCATGTGAGTCCTCAGTATAAAATAATACACATATAAAATAATACTCCGTGCACTGGGAGTGGGCCCACCACCGTGCTGCCTCCCTCTGCAGCAAGGGTGGCAACAGTCCAGCCAGGTCTAGCTGTCCTCCGCCCTCCTCTGGTTCTTGGAATGAAACTTGTTCATGAGTTCCTCCAATTCCGACCCACTTTGCTGCTTCTAGGGAGAAGGGATGAGGAGCTCAGACAAGGGGCCAGAGGCCACGACCCCACTTCTTCCCAGCACCCCAGGAGCAGGTAGGTGGGTGTACTGTGAAAGAGGCACTGGAGCGGGGCGCTCACCTCCAGCATCGCCTTCTGCACTGTGAGTTGGCTGTACACGCGGATGCCCTCCTCCCCGCACACCCTCTTCAGCTCATCTTTGTTGAGGGAGAAGAGCTGGGGTCCAGTCAGGATACCCAGGTTCTCCACGATCCTGGGGGTGGTAGAGAGTCAGGGCGCGGGGGTGGGCATGGCAGCCGGCGACGGCTGCGTGCACTGGCGGGCACTTGCTCAAACCCGCAGCCCTTCCGCTCACCGGCCGCTGAAGGCCTTGGCTTCTAGCCAGGCCCGGACTTCATCCGGGCCGGACTCAAAGGTGAGTGGCAGGTGCACCGGCTGGGTGCGCTCCACGCGGAAGTGCCTCTGCGGCTGCCCCTTGATGTGGCTAATTTTCTTCATGAGCTCATCGTTGACTTCATCCATGTGGTGGATCAGCTCTGCAGGAGCGGGTGCTGAGCCGGGGACCCGCGCAGGCCCTGGCTTCCCCCTGCCCTCCCAGGCCGCCCCGCACCTCCTTGCTCCCTCTCCATGTCAGCGCCCTCTCACCATCTTTGTTCCCTGCGAAGATAGGGGGCAGTTTATGCATCGGGCTGGCGGGACCCCAGTATTTCTGGCTGGCCTGCAGGGGCAGGTGGTGAGGTGGGTGCTCTGAAGACCTGCCCAGACCCCCACCTGACTTGTGGGCCGGCCACAAGGGAGGAGCCTCTGCACAGGTTCTGGCCCAGGGCTGGGCTGCAGCGGCATTCCCAGGCTGAGGCTCAGCTGTCCCCCCAACCCCACCCAGGGCCAACGACTGTGTTGTGAGGGTGGGGCAGAACAGAGGCGGGCACCTGCTCCAGGGGGGCACCAATGTCCTCTGGCCGAACTTCATCCAGGATGTTGCAGGGCACATAGCCAGACTGGCCACTTCGGCTGCGAAGCTTCCACCACTGCCGGCCATCCTCCAGGACCTGCGGTGTCCCGGGGCCATCAGGTCTACTGTCTTTCCTGCCCTTGGACCCCCACCCTCCCCAGCCACGGGCACTAGTGTGGTTGCTGGGACTACTCACATGAGCCACACTTTGCAGAGAGGCAGAGAGTGCCCCATGTCTCCCCTGAGCTCAGCCCTCAGGCCACTGTGCATCCTGGCCCCAGGCTTCAGTCCTGGCTGGGGGGGGGGGGCTACCCCTGCCTGGCCTTAGCAGGGTCCTGGAGGGAGGATGCTTCCTGGCCTCATTGTGGATGTAAACCACCCCCCTGCCCCAGCCTGCTCCACTTTCTGTCCCTCAGTGAGTGGCCTGGATTCAGGTTTGGCACAGTGGCTGCAGGGGAAGGCTCCCGGGTGGCCATGAGTGTCAAGCCCCTTCTCTGTTCACTGGAGGGCCCTCCACTTGGCAAAGTGACTGCCCAGCATCCAAGGGTTCCGCACACCCTCGGGAATCCCCCAGACCTGGAGGGCCCTCGGCAAGGCCGTGCTGGGAGTAGGGGAGATCCTGCCCATGGACCCAGCTGGAACCCAGAGCTGGGGACCCTAGGGAAATAGGCTGTGCCCATCTCGTGGTTCCACAGTTGGGTCACCTTCCCTGGTCAGGCTGACCCCTCACCTCTAGGACCTCATCCTTGAGCACCGACAGCTCGTTGGCATTGCGGGCTGTGAAGTCGTAGAGAATCTTCACATACTTGGCCGGGGCTGGTGTTGGCTGGTGGCCCCTACAAGGACCCAGGGGGACTGGAGCAGCAGCTTCCCARGCACGCAGCTGCCTGGCTCTGCTGCCCAGGTTGCAGTGGAGGAGGGGCTGTCGCTCACAGCCCCGAAGAGAAACTGTGACAGCCCTGGAGGTGGAGTGGGCGGGAGGGCAAGATGCAGGGCCTGGCCCACCAGAGCTGCCGCTGGGTGCCTGGGGGTGACAGCGTCATGGGGCCAGGACATTTTCAGAGCCACAGCCCCTGGGTGCTGCACAGGGCACCCGCCTGCAGGCTCTCTGGAGGTCTGGACCTACATCCCCAGGGGCATGGGTGGAGCTGTTGGTGCAGATCCAGCGCAGAACAGGACTGCTCCCTGTCCCACTGCACTGGGAGGAGCAGGGTAGAGGCCGCCAGGGTGAACAGACAGCTGCTGAAAACACTTCTGTGTGGCTCTGCCTGGGGGCTGGAGCTGTGGCTCAGCGGGAGAGCTCTTGCTTCCCAGGTGTGAGGTCCTGGGTTCGAGCCTCCTCACCACACAAATAAAATAAAGGTACTGAAGTTCTCCTGGGGACCACAGGCCCAAGGTGGGCCAAGAGGATGGGCTTGTTTGGAATACGGATTTGCAGCCCCTTCCCTCCTGAAACCAGATTCTGGAACCTTGCAGGTTGCAATCCCAGGCAGACCCTGGGCCAGGAGTGAAGGTACAGAAGTGGGGGGCCAAGAGGGGTTCGCCCCTGGGTCTATTCTTTATGTATGGTGCTAGGGATGGAACCCAGGGGCGTTCTACCATTGCGCTCCACCCCCAACTCTTTTGATTTTTTATTTTGAAATCTGGTCTCCCTAAGTTGTCCAGGCAGTTCTGAGAGTGAAAARCAGCTTCTCATCTGGAAGAGGCATTTTAAGCCACTTGAAGGAGGTGTTTGCCACCACCTGGTGGCAGCACAGCCCAGTCCATGCTGTGGAGGGCGGCACACCACCTCCCTGTAACGGGGCTTACCTGTGAGAGTGTGGGGAGCCGACTGGTGGTAAGACATCCCCCTGGGGTGTGGACTCAGAGGAGAGACTGTGTTTCGGGGAGTTTCTTATGGAGAGTCGGCTCACAGGGGTGGGCTGTGGGGAGAGCAGGGCTTGATGTCGGGTGGAGGCCAGGCAGTGCCAAGCAGGGTCCCAGGACAAGGGGCACAAGACAGAGACTCCGTGAGTGTTCTGTGACCTGGCAGGCCGGGCACGGGACAGCCGCAGCCATGGCTCCAGGGGTGGCAAGGGCAGCAGTTGGCAGCGGTAGGGGAGGCCAGCTCCMGAGGGGTGGGGTCTGACCTGGTCATCGGGGTCCGAGGCCAGTCCTTCCATCTCCCAGGGAGCCTCCTGCAGCACCTCCAGAGGCGGTTCCCAGCCACTGTGGAACTTGGGCACGTACAGGGGCACCTGTGGCTCCTTCGGCCACTCAGAGCTGGGGTGGGCAGTGCCGGGGTCAGCCAAGACTCCTCCTGGAGCTGGCCCACCCAGGACCCCATCCTGGTCCGGGCCCTGCCCCTCACCCTGTCCATACCGGGGCCGGGTCCAGGTGTCCCCCAGGGACTCCCACAGTGACATCTCCTTGGGTACCAGGTGGCCACGTAGGAAGGCCACAGCCTCCTGGGAGAGCAGCGGGCTGAAGACGGAGCGGGCCATGTCTGGGCCTCCGCAGGTGTTGACGATCTGGGGGACGGCGTGGCTCAGAGGGGCGCCCCAGCCTGCAGCTGCACAGGGGCCACCCTGGGTCCCCGCCCCCCTCCGCCCCACCCGCCCCAGCCCCAGGCACCAGGTCCAGAGGCCCGAAGAGGAAGTGCACCAGCTCCGCCGCACTGGGGTTCTGGATGTGCTTCTGCAGCTTGGCCTGGAGGGAGCGGGCAGGTGACAGGTGGCAGGGAGAGGGCAGGTGACAGATGGTGTGGGGGAACCTCCACCCTCACCACCGGCACAGGGCAGGCCTGGACTCACCAGCAGATTGATGGCCAGCTTGGTTTTCTGGAAACAGTCGACAAACTCACCCTCAGAGGGGGGCCGGGCACGCAGCGTGAGGACGCCCTCTGGCACAGGGTGGAGGCCGTGAGCCGGCTGGCCGGCTCCGGGCCTTGTGGGCCCTGCCTGCTGTCCAATGCTGAGCCCCCCAGGCCAGCTGTCCCCAGCTCGGGGCCCTGCGCAGCCCCCCACGCACCTGCCGGCCCCTTCTTGCCCTTCTTCTTCCCTTTCTTCCGCTGGTTCAGCTGCTTGAAGGCCTCGGCCGCCTTCTGTAGCCGGGCCACGAACCACTCGATGTCGTCCAGGGCGCAGTTGAGGATTTGCTGGGGTCAGAAGAGCAGGGGTGAGCTTCAGACCTCCATCCACTCTGGGGCTGCTCTACAGGCAGCAGGCCGTCGTCTGGGCCCATTGCAGGGGAGGCCGGGAGGGCCCATTGCAGGGGAGGCCGGGAGGGCCCATTGCAGGGGAGGCCGGGAGGGCCCATTGCAGGGGAGGCCGGGAGGGCCCAGCGGGGGTGGGAGGGCACCCACCGTCTCCTTCTCTATCCTCTGAGCCAGCACCGCCCGAGGCTCCTCATCCTGCGATTCCCGGCGGCGGTAGCCTGGTGGGGACAGAGCAGCTGCCCAGGGGCCCTGCAGACCCTCCAGGGAGCCCCGACCTAGCCCTGGGCCTACCTGGCTCTGTGAAGGGTGCTGGCAGGCCCACGCGGTTCTTGGCCTGAGGAGAGTCCCCAGCCTGGCGCTGAAAGGGGATGGGAGCTGGACTCTGGGGAGGCGGCAGGATGGACTGCCGCTGCCGGATCTTCTCCTGGTGCCCCCTGGAGGGGACAGGCAGGCCTGCTCAGCTGGCCACCACCCCAGTCCTGGGCAGCTGCCTCCTTGGTGCCCTCCCTGCCCTGGTGAGAGCCCAGCTCCCCGGGTCCCCAGGGCCCTACTTCAGGGTCTGTGGCCGCAACTTCTTCCCCATCCGGTAGTCGGCCAGCGCGCTCTGGATGTCCTCCTGCACCAGCTCCGCCTGGGGGACAGGGGCATCAGGCTGGCTCAGCGGGTGCCTCACCCGCCCCTGTCAGCTGCCTCACCTCCACCTCGTCGCAGTGGAAGAAGTGCACGTCGGGCTTGCTCTGCTCCGAGTCCTGGCACACCAGCAGCAGCACCGAGGGGTAGCGCAGCTGGTTCAGTACCGTCTGGCTGCGCAGCACGGTGGGCAGCGGGAAGTTCTCCAGCTCTTCCTGGGGGCAGAGGGCAGGCGGTGACGTGGCCTCAGCCGGCCCTGGACACAGATGTGGGCCGTGGCCACAGGCAGGGAATGGACCACAGATGTGGCCAAGAAAGGGACCAGTGCCCTGCCAGAGGCGTGATGGAGCAGCGTGGGCTCCTGGGACACAGAGGCGGCAGGAACTTGCAGGGGCAGGAGGGACCAAGTCCAGGGACAGGACTGACACTGYTCACACTGCAGACACTTCTTGAGTRCAGACCCCAGGGGCACAGCCAGGCCTGCTGAGTGCAGTCTGTGAGCCTCTTGCAACTGGACACAGCCTGCCCCACTGCAGGTTGCTGCCTGGGCTCTGGCCAGGTTGATCCTGCTGGCCCTTGGCCTCGTCCTCTTCCACATGCTCACCCCAGAGACCCGGCACCCATGGGAGACCAGTAAACAGCAGCCTGCTCCACCGCCTGACCTGGTTCTCCACGTCCAGCAGCCGCAGGGCCTTGTCGTCCACCTGCAGCAGCACCTCCTGTGCCCAGACCTTCTCCTTGGCACTGAGCTGCACCAGCTTCCGGATGGCGTCGTCCACAGATGTGATGGCCTCACTCTTGTCCATGATGAATGTGGCCAAGTGCTGGGGGGCAACAGTCACGACTGGGTTCAGCCGGGCTTGGGCCCAGGGCTGGGGGCCCCCGCCCACCCAGGGGGTCCCGCAGGGCCACAGCTTTATCTCAGGTGGAGGCGCCCCTATTCTGCCCTGGTTGACATCTTTGGGGATCACAGTGGTGCACTGATAAAACCTGAAAGCATTCCTGGCTGCCCGGCCACCTTGGGCACTCCTCTGCCCTCCCCACCTCTTGCTGCTAGGCCCTTCTCCTCTCTCAGGACCTCACACTACATCTGTGTGCTGGGCCCGAGGCCGGTCCTGCCCTCAGGATGCCCTCACCCAGAGCAGTCGGATCCGGGATTGGCTTCTCGGGGACATGGGTGGAAAGAGCGCATCTGGGGGTCTTCCGCAGCCTGGCCTGGCCTGGCCTGGCCTGCCCCCATGAGCTGCCCTCTACCTCATCAGTAAAACCCTCCCACAGAGCTTCAGGCTTCAGTCAACAATGCTGGGACAGGTGGATAAACTAGCTAGGCTGGGACATCAGACAACACAAAGCCACAAAAGCACTAGAGAAATCAGACAGTGATTTCTCACCAAGTCTAAGGGAACTTTCTCCACGGGGCACTTTGCCCAGCAAGGTGGAAAACACACGAACTCCGAAGAAGAGACTAACCAATCTGACAATAAAAAAAAGATTTCTGACTGGGTATCGCTCAGCCGTGTAGTGCTTCCTAGCATGCAGAGGCCCTGGTTCAATCCCTAGCACCAAAAAATAAAAAACAGCCAGATGCAGTTCAAGGCCAGCCTCAGTAATTTAGCGACACTTTCTCTAAACAAACAACACAATAAAAAGAAATAAAAAGGGCTGAGGATGTAGCTTAGTGGTGGAGCTCTCCCAGATTCAGCCCAGTATCGCCCCCACACGCGCAAATAAAGGATATTGATAATAAGTAAGTAAACAAATAAATCTTAAGTAAGCACACAATAACACTGCAACAGAAAATTGCCAAAGGATATGAGCACAAAGAAAACAAATATAAATAACTTTTTTTTAGTTGTACATGGGCATAATACCTTTATTTTATTTATTTATTTTTGTGCGGTGCTGAGGATCAAGTGCAGTGCCTCGCAGGTGCTGGGCAAGCACTCTCCTGCGGAGGCACAACCCCAGCCCTGTAACTTTTTAATACAGAAAATCATATGTAAATCTCATTGAATAAAAGAACCACACATTGAAACTCTGAGCCTTTATTATTTTAGCAATAAGTCACTGTCTCTTTCACCTATTCTACTGTCCAACCCTCGAAGTCACTAGGGTACATCGTGGTTCAGATGTGGAGACAGGCAATGTCACCTAGCACCTGCCAGCCTCCTGGGCAGAGGCTGGTGACAGCTGTAAAGGCACACATCTTCCCTCCCAGCTCTGCTGCAGGTGGCCTGTGCAGGTGCAGTGTGGCGCTGGGCCAGGCTGCTCCCTGCAGAGCCACTTGCAATAACAAAGACTGGGTGCGACTCACGACTCACGTGGCCATCAACCAGAGAAAGAGTGAGTGGGCGAAAACACACAGCAGAATCCGATGGGGCTGTGTGGGGCGGAGGAAGCCCTGAAATGCACGCTGTTAGCACCACACAGAACAACCCACCACATGAAACCAAGCTGCGAGGCCACCAGCGAGCTTAGGACACCTCACATGGCTGAGACCACCCAGGGAACACTCTTGGACCACCATGAAATTAAAGTCAGATGAATAGCCAAAAGTTAGATAGAAAATCCTCAAAGGTTTGGAAATCAAGCTACATAGTTCTAAATAACCCATGGGTCAAAATTGAAGTCACCAGGAGAAGTAAAATATATTCTGGGGTTGGGGAGATATAGATATGTATATATCTATCTTGTGTTCTGTCCCCAGCACCACAAAAAAATTCTGAAGTATAATAAAAACAGGCATAATATATTACGATTGGTGGACTACAGCTACAACTGCTGGCTCTCCCACTCCCCGACTCCCCAGGCTAGGGACTGAACCCAGGCGTGCTCCAGCAGTGATCTATATCCTCAGCCCTTTTATATATATATATATATTTTTTTTTTTTTAATTCAGGATTTTTTGGAGGAGGGGAGGGGAGTACCAGGGATTGAACTCAGGGGCACTCTACCACTGAGCCACATCTCTAGTCCTATTTTGTATTTTATTTAGAGACAGTCTCACTGAGTTGCTTAGTGCCTTGCCATTGCTGAAGCTAGCTCTGGACTCAGGATCCTCCCTCTCAGCCTCCCGAGCTGCTGGGATGACAGGCATGTGACACAAAGCCCAGCTGAATTCAGGATCTTGATAAGTTGCCTGGACTGGTCTTGAACTTGTAATCCTCCTGCCTCAGCCTGCTGAAGAGTTGGGATTACAGGTGTGTACCACCACACCCAGCTCAGGCAGTGCATTGAGGGAAATTTATAGTTTCTGATGACTATGTTAGGCAAAAAGTTAAGACTTAGGATCAGTGACCTAAACTTTCAGCTTAAGAAGCTAGAAAAACGTGCTGGGGTGTGACTCAGTGGTAAGCACTTGCCCAGCATGCAAGGGCCCGGGCCCAACCCCCAGTACCACAGGGAAAAAGCTACAAAAACACAATAAAATAGACCCCAAAGAGAGTGGAAAGAAGTAAATTAAAAGTACAAATCAATAGAGAAGCCGGGCACAGTGGTGCAGGCCTGTAATCCAGTGGCTCCAGAGGCTGAGGCCGAGGACCACAAGTTCAAAGCCAGCCTCAGCAACAGTGAGGCGCTGAGCAACTCAGTGAGACCCTGTCTCTAAATAAAATACAGAATAGGGCTGGGGATGTGGCTCAGTGGTCAAGTGCCCCTGGGTTCAATCCCTGATACCCACCCCCCAATAAACAATCAATAGGGAAAAATCCAACAAAGTTAGTTTTGAAAGAAATGTTAAAATTGATAAATCCCCAGCAAGAGCGATCGAGAAAAATGCTAGAAACGATCCCTTCAAAACCAAGAGGACAGAGGGGACATGTCCACACTACACACAGGCACCACAGAGGCGGCCCAGCACTCAGCCTCACTGGCAAAGCGCAAGTATCGAAGGAAGAAACAACAAGAAGCGTCACRAACTTTCTGAAAACCGAGGTGAGAACTCTTCCCTCCTGCCCTGTGAGGTCAGCATAACCCTGACCCCCAAACCTGCCAACAGTACTATCTGAGAAAGTTGCAGGTCAATATCTCTGGGAGACATGGACACAAAACCCCTCAACAAAATATTAGCAAATTCGCCCATCAGCACATAAAAAGGATAGTAGAGCCAGGCGCAGTGACACATGCCTGTCATTCCCACGACTCAGGAGGCTGAGGCAGAAAGATGGCAAGTTCAAGGACAGCCAGGCCCTGTCTCAACATAAAAAAAAAGAAAACAACAACAACAACAACAAAAAAAGCTGAGGACGCAACTCAGTGGTAGAGGTTCCCTGAGTATTGGGGGGAGGGGGGAAAGCTAGTATACCTGGAAGAAAATGAAGTTATCCCAGAAATGCCAGGTTGGTTCAACACACATAAAAGTCAACCAGGGAGCCAGGTACAATGGCTTACACCTGTGATCCCAGTTACTCAGGAGGCTGAGGCAGGAGGATCACACATTAGAGGTCAGCCTGGGAAACTGAGCAAGACCCTGTCCCCAAATAAAAATAAAAAGGGATGGGGGTGCAGCTCAGTGGTAGAGCACTTGCCTAGCATGAAGGGGCCCCAGACTCAATCCTAGCACCACCAAGAATAAAAAAAAAAATCAGTCAAGCCAGGCACAGTGGTGCATACCTGTAATCCCAGCGGCTAGGAAGGCTGAGGCAGGAAGATTGCAAGTTCAAAGCCAGCCTCAGCAACGGCAAGGCCCTAAACAACTCAGTGAGACCCTATCTCTAAATTAAATACAAAATAGGGCTGGGGATGTGGCTCAGTGGTTGCATGCCCCTGAGTTCAGTCCCTGGTAAAAAACAAAACCAAACAAAAAAACCTCAGCCAATGTAGTTCACTACACCAGCAGTGGCCAATGAACCTCAATAGATTTGGGGATAAGTATCTAACAAAATCCAACACCCATCATGATCAAAAACTCAGCAAAAGAAATTCGAACTTCTCACATTAATAATAGGTATCCACAAAAACAGGCATCAGTAGGACACTGGACGCTCTCTCCAAGACTGGACCTCTGCAGACCCATCATGCTCTCATCTTCATCTAGCATTGTACTTTAAACAGGGAGATGGGGCAAAAAAATAAATGAATGATATGAAGACAGGAAATGAAGAGTGGTCTTTATTTTCAAGCAATCTGATGTGTATATAGAAAATCCAAGCATTTTACAAGTCAATCACAAGTAATTTGCAAATGACTTAATTCACCAGTCTCAGGACACTTGATCATCATACCAAAGTTCAATTGTTTTTCTATAGGCTAACAGCAGACAACTGTTAAAAAGAATACCMTTTGTTTTCCATTAATGGGCATTGAATCCAGGGGTGCTCTACCACTGAGCCACTTCCCCAGCTCTCTCTCTCTTTTTTTTTAAATTTAGAGACAGGGTCTTGCTGAGTTGCTAAATGCTTCCTAAGTTGCTGAGGCTGGCTTTGAACTTGCAATCCTCCTGCCTCAGCCTCCTGAGCCACTGAGACTACAGGCATGCACCACTGCACCAGCACCATTTGTAATGACATATAAAAATCAAATGCCTAAGCAATAATTTAACAAAGGATATGCAAGCCTCCTATAATGAAGACCACAAAACACTGATGAGAAATTAAAGAATACCTATTAATGGAAAGGTATCCCATGTTCATGGATGGAAAGACACAATATTGTTCAAGTGTCAACTCTTTCTAAAGTGATTCAGAGATTTGACTTGATGCCAATCAAAATTCTAACAGCATCTTTTAGGAGGAGAAATACACAAGTTGATTCTAAAATTCAGATGCAAGTATAAGGAACTCAAGCCAATCTTAGTTGGGCTTGGTGGTACACATCCGTATTCCAAGTTTCACAGAAGGCTGAGACAGGAGGGTTATTTAAGCCTAGAAATTTGGGACCAGCTGGGCAACAGAGCAAAACTCCATTTCTAAAACACAAGAGTGGGGGGAGAGACATAGGATATTTTGAAGATAAAGAACAAAGCTGTGGGACTCACATGGCCTGAGTTCACGACTGATAAAGCCACAATGAGTTGAAGCTTGCACACAGCCTTATAGATCAGTGAAATGACGATTCCAGAAACAGACCTGTCCCTATCTGGCTAATCAGTTCCAGGAGGGGAGGAAAGCCTTCTCACTATGGCTGGACATGCACACAAGAGAAAACAAGCCTGGATCCCCACTCCACACCATGCCCCCAAAAACACCTGGAGGGGACGGTGGACCTAGATGCCAAGGCCACACTACAGACATCCAAAGGCAACAAAGGCACAGTTCCTCAGGAGGCAAAAAGCCCCCCACAGAAGGAAAAAAGGTGGTCTGATTAGACGTCACCAAAATGTCACATTTGTGTCCCTCGAAAGACAGTGATGCGTATGAGTGGACAAGCCACAGACAGGGAGAAGGTGGTGCTGACCCTCACACCTGACTGCACGTATGAAGACGTCCACATGGATCAGAAGCACCTCCACCTGTATGTGGGCAGAAGCAGCATCAGGGGAGAGGCCTGGGGCCAGGTGGCTGGCAAAGATGCCCTCGCAGCCCGGGGCGGGCACGGAGTCATCCTCTGCCACGCCTTCTCAAAGTCAGTTCAGGAAGCTGAGGAGGCTGTAAACTACAGGGTCCTGTCGACAGAGACAGGGAGGTGGGGCTGCGACCTCAAAGGGTCTGGCAGGAGCTTGGGGTGGCAGAGCCAGGCTGGGTGCCGCCGATGTGGTCACAGGACTGCACGCCCCACCACATTTACTGTACCAAAAACACAGGCTTTGGCACCCTGCCTCCGCTCCGCTCCACCTTGCTGAGGTAGGTCTCTGATCCCTTCTCTGGGAGGGGTGGGAAAACCTCATCTCCTCCCACACCCTCTCTGGCCCCTGCAACAGCTGGGATGAGCCAGGCCAGCTGGGACCAAAGTCCAGGGGCCAGGCTGGGTCCTCACTGAGGAGAGCCAAGTCCCACCCCTGAGAAAGGTGGCGGAGCTGCTGCGGAGGAGGGGGCTGGCTGACCGGCCCACACTGACGGCTCTGCCTTGGGAAACTGCATCGCAATGGTCACTGCACAATGGCCCAGCCTGCCCAGAACACCGGTCATCCCAACACACTGGACCCCAGAGCCTCAGGTTCTTTGGATTCATCCTGAGGAAACAGGCTTAGACAGTGACTTCCTCAGCCCTGGGCCCAGTGAGGCCCACGGTGGGGAGGCCCCAGAGAGCCAGCACCGTGGGCCTGCAGCCACAGCTGGCTCTGCTCGCCCCTTACCTGCCTCCCCCTCATTCCTCCCCAGAGTCCCCCAAGCCTGGATCTCGGCCAGGAGCCCGGCCAGCTCGCAGGCATGGAAGGCCCCTCTGTAAAGTGTGTCTCCTGAGTTCTAGGTGTAGGACAAAGCCCTCCCAGGCTGGCGGCCGGTCCAAAGGGCGCTGGGTGGCCGGGTACGCAGGGTAGCTCCGAGGCAGCACGGCCACCTGAAGCTCCCGCAGTGCTCCATAAATAGTGTCTTTGTTTCAGCTTCTCCTGCTAATCCAGTTCCTTGTTTTGGGGCCAGGATGACGACTTCCTTCCCAGAGGCTCCTGTGCACAGCCCCAGGGGGCCTCCCCAGCACACCTGGGGTGGTGCCAACCTCAGCACCAAGTCCCCAGGGAAAGCTCCCCAGACTGAAGGGCCTGACCCCACTGTGGCTCAGCCAGGGACCCGTGGGGGCAGTCCCTGGCTCTGGTCTCCCCACTTGTCCCCGGGGCCTCAGTTTCTCCACCTGCTCATGCACCCCGAAGCACAGGGTCTCACCTGGACATGGTACTGGGAGGTCTCGTGCATGATGACATTGGAGTTGGAGTACTTCTTCCTCTGCTCTGGACGGGGAGATGGTGGCCACTCAGCCCAGATCTCAGGACTGCCAGCCCCCAGTTCAGGTGGGACTGGACTCCAGGGGGCCGCAAGGGAGGGCGGAGTCAAGGTAAGGGGTGCTTCTCTTGGGCCCCTCATGAACACCAAGGATCACAGGTGTGAGATCCATGAGGACCCTGCTCAGACCACGAGGACTCTCAGGAAGCCCTCTGCTCCATCCAGCCCAGGCTCACCCCAGGGGAGACACCCATGGCTCTGAGAGGGAGGGCAGCCAGAGGCTATGGGACTTGTCCTGGGGGACTGGAGGCTCAGCCTCACCAGAGGCTGGCCAACCCCTGTGCCCACCTGCCCAGGGGAGAGGTCTAGGCCAGGGCTTGCCCACCCTCAGAGCCACCACCACCAGAATCTTCCTCCTTTCTAGGGGCTTCTTGCTGTCCAGACGGGGGGTGGGTGTAGCACCCAAAGGCACACGTGAGGGCTGCGGCCAGCCGGGAGGGCAGCCTGGCTCCCTCCTGGAGAGACACCTGGCCACCGGCCACCTGCCCCGATCGAGTTGCAGAGACGCCCAGGGAATCAATACTGTGGCTCTCTGAATTATTTGTAAAGGGCTCTCCCCTTACTGCTGGGGGAGGGGTGTTCTGTGCCAGGAACTTTGGGGACAGACCCCACAAGCTGTCAGAGGCCTCCTCCAGGTACCCAGGGCTGACCAAGCCTGAGGTCCTCTGGGCCAGGGCCAGGCAGTCCCCTACTTCCCCAGCCTGGTCCCTTCTCCAGCTTCACTCACCAAACAGATCCTTCGCGCTCATCTTAGCAGCACCATCGGACCGGCCCAGGCTGCCGCTGTGGGGGGGGGCAGGTGAGGGGGGCCGCCACGCCCTCCCCGGGGGCCCTCCCCGGGGGCTGCTGTGGGCAGTGAGGGTGGGCATGGGGCTCACTTGGCAGCACCAGGGCAGCAGCTCATGGCTCCTGACTGGCTCATGGCGTCCTTGGTGGCGGCCCGCAGCCGGGAGGGCAGAACTCAGTGTGGCCGAGTCTGGGGCCCGATGCCTGGCCCACACCTGAGAGGACAGAGGAACTGAGCTGACACCTTCTCTGGTCCTGGCCAGTGGCCTTGCTATTCCCAGGACAGGGCCTCCTCTCTCTACCCCGGGTCCAGGGCAGGAATTCAGTGACTTGACCAGATTCCACAGGGGGTCCTCAGGAAGTGGAGCTCCCTACCCTGCAACCCAGCTAGTGGCCACTGAGYCCCATCTTGCCTCAGACCTTCAGACTGCATAGGGTTGCCCCCCCACACCCAAGAGGCTGCCTAGGAGGCTCTGAAGAGGGTGATGGGGGGAAAGCATCTTCTCAGCAGAGTTCAAGTAGGTTCAAAGGCCCTGGGGCAGGTAGCAGCCAGCAGGAGTGGAGGGCAGGGGCATGAGGCTGGAGCCTGGGGAGGGGCACACAGTGCAGAGGGATCTCTGGCTCCCGCCTTCCAGTCCTGCCCCACCCCAGGCACCTACCCCACAGGGGCCTCTGCACCCTGTGGTGAACACATAGCCCACACCTGTCCACCCTTAGCTCTCTTTGGGCCCTTGGAGAGCAAGCAGGGAAGCCCTGTGGTAGGGAATCCTGGGGTCCCTGGTACTTAAGGGGTAGTCTCACCCTGATGAGAAGGCAAAATGGGGAAACCAGGGTAGGACCCTTGGCAGCAGGAGCCGGCCCAAGAAAGGACCTGGGGAAGGTGGGCGCAGGGTGGGGGTTCAGAGGGATGGGTGCTGTCCCAGCCTCCCCGTAGCAGATTCCCAGGCCTGACCACTGTCCAGCTGCACTCTGGGAAAGAGGACAGGTGGCTAAAGTGAACAGGGTCTGATCTGGGTTGGACCCTGGGACCTTCCTGGGAGGGAAGCAAACCCTGGGGGCTTAGGTGGGGAGAATGCCCTGTGGGGACCACCAGTGCAGAACTGCCCCCGGTCCCAGGTGGAACAGGTGGACAGCACCTCTGTGGCGGCTCCCTGGGGGGTCCTGGGTCCACACAGGAAGGCCATCCTCCTGACTTCAGTGTTTGGGTCTACCAGGGTGGGGCCACCAGCCGGGGTGCTGGTATGGAGAGCTGAGGGGCAGGCTGGGGCACCCCAGGACTTTCTGGTTTGACTAGGTCCTGCTGGGGAGCACTCCCAGGAGATGTGGGAGCCTGGGGGCTTTGGTCACTGCCTCATCCTGGCTCCTGCTCTGCCCCGCCCACATGCCACAGGGGGCTTGGCCAGATTGCCCTGTCCACCTATCCGTGGAGAATGTTTGGAATGCTCATGACCTCAGAGGGTGAGTCTGAGTGTTTGCTTATGGGGATTCCTGGCAGGCTGAACCAAGGGCACTGGGCACGTGGGTCCAGGTACACACACCTGGGAAAAAACAACCTCCAGACCCAGGCCTGCAGGCACGCAGACACACAGGCTGGGCTGCACAGCCCTCCCCTCAGCAGTGGGGGAGCGGGGGCCACTTAGAGGCCTGGGTGAAGCCTGCTCCCAATGGGCTTCAGCTGGGGGTGGGGAAGCCATGGAACTCAGAATAGGTGGAGATGGGTGCCCAGCCCTGGCCCTGGCCCCTGGGCTWCAGGCTGTACTTTAGTTTTATGGAGGCCATTTTCCGGGTATGAAGGGAGGACCCAGTATGTCTGGGGCCAGGCGAGTGGACAGTGGAGGGAGGAGGCCCCAGGAGGGCAGAGAGGGTGGAGGAACTGGCTCCAAGTTCAAATTCCAGCTCCACATGCTGAGTGACCTTGGGGAGGGGTCAGCTTAGTCATCAGGGCTCCTAGCTGCCCTCATGGGAGTCGGGTGGGGCCCTGGAACAGGGCAGTCCCTCAGGCCCTTCTGTGACCTGAGGAAAGAGCCCTGTCCAGGTCGGAGGGAGGAAGAGACAACTTGGAAACTTCTAGGGGGGAGGGTGGATACACTTGAGGAGACGTGGGCAGGCACAGGGTGCAGAAGCCTGGCTGGATGGAAGCACTGGGCCCACAGGGCCTGGGTACTGGGCAGGTCCAGCAGAGGCCTGGGCACAGGATGGCAGTGCAGATGGGCTATCCCCACCAGGGGCCCCTCCTTGCACAGCAAGGATTGTGCACTGGAATAGGGGCAGAGGTGGTCTGTGGGGTGTGCTTACTTCCGCCCCTGGGGGGGGGGGGGGGGACACCCTCACACAAAGGGGCAGTTCTAGAGCAGCCCTGCCCAGGGACCAGGAACCTGAAATGGCCAGATTGGATTCCCACAGGTCCTGGTAGCCCACCCTCCAGGATGGGCCAGGCAGGGCTCCTGCAGCCACACCCCCAGCCTTCCTCCCTCTCAGACTCCACACCTCACCTCTGACCAGCAGCCTGACCCAACCTGATGCCATCCTGGCCCAACCCTCCAGAGAGTTCCAGGGCCTGGGCTGTGTGCCCACCTTCAGGGTCCTACCATGGAGGAGGCCCCAGCCTCCTCCAGGGGATGAGAAGCCCCTTCTCCGGATGCAGGGATTCCTCCACCTAGCCCCAGGGCTGGGAGGGCATGGGACCTGCATGGGTGAGTCACCTGCCACTGGCTTAAAAATATCCCTGCACGCGGGCCGCGCCCGGACACTGGCAGACCGGGCCGCAGTGGACCGGTTCTTGGGCCAAGAGCCCCCCCCCCCAAACCTCCTGCGCCCCCGCGCCAGGCCACCCCGGTCCAGCTATCCCCAGCGCCCCAGGCGCCCAGCTGCCTCCCGCACCCGGCCCCGCCAGAGCCCCGCGTCCCATCGCCGCTGAGGAAACTGAGGCCCCGACGGATGAGCGCCTTCCTCGCCCTCACCTGCTCGCGGCAACTGCGTCCTCGCTGCGGCCAGTCCCCCGGTCCGTGTGTCCGCCAGTCTGTCCGCGCCTTGGCCACCGCACTAGGTCTCCGCTGGCGGGCGGGTCGCTTCGCGGGGCGGGGCGGGGCGGGGCCGCTAGAGGACGAACCTGAGCGACAGGTTACCGAGTCACCGGGGAGCGGGCGCGCGGGGGAGGCAGGGGCGGGCCCGGGACGCCCCGCCCCCGCCCGCCTGGCCCGGCTGCGCGCAGCGGAGTTCCTGGCGGTCCCAGCTCACTGGGGCGCTGCGCGGCCGCCCAGCCCTCCCCGCGGGACGTTCCGGGCCCCTAGCTTCAGAGCCCTTCCTCTTCAGCTGGCCCATCTGGTGTGGGATGCTGGGGCAGAGCCATGTCTGAGTGGAGGTCAGAGGTAGGAACTAGCTAGGACCCACAGCCCTAGCTCCCAGTCCAGGAGTTCCTAAGTCCCCTTTCTCTGCACCCCACCTCATCCCGGGCACCTCCAAAGGGTGGGAGTGTCTGGTGGGAGGGGACACCTGTGGCCCAGACTGTCCTGTGAGCTTCTGGCTCTGTCTCATCAGGCGGTCTCCCAGAAGGCCCTGAGCAATCCTGTTGCTATGCACAGGACAGGGTGGGGCGCACAGAGAGCGAGAAGCCAAGGTTGGCTGGCAGTGGAGGAGGTGAAGGGGATAGAGACATCCTGGGCACATGCCGGGTCCCCAGGGATCCAGCTCTGTTCCCAGGGTGGGGGCAGAGGGAATGAGTACTGTCAGGAAGTCAGGACTGCTGGTGTTTGCCCTGGGCTGGCAATGGAGCAGCCATGGGGAGGTGGGCACTCTGCCCTGGAGGGCCAGAGCCACTGGCATCTCTGTGGTCTGCACCGAACCCACAGGTGAGCTCAGCAGAAGGGTGGCAGGAATGGCCTTTGTCCTCTAGTCCCAGCACCTGCCTGAGTCCAGACAAGACCTGCTTCCTGGTGCACAGCCTTTGCAGCTGAACTCAAGAACCTGGCCTAGTCCTGCTCCACATGTGACTCCATCCTGAACCAGTGTGCAGAGTCAAGCACTCTGCTCTGCCTGGCAGGGGCAGGCACACACCCATGCCCTCGCCCTTCCTCCGCAGGGTGAGGATCGGGCAAAAGCAGGAAGTGGACACCACAGGGTCAGCTGGGGCAGGTCCCAAAGCCACTCTGGGCCGCCTGGACCTGTAGTGTTTGCAGATGGTGTGGAACAGGTGACCTTCCCCTTTGTGTGCCAGTGAGAGGGGGGTGTCAAGGGCTCCAGACTCAGATCTGTTAACTGAAAGCTTTCTGCCCGGTCTGCAGAAGGAACCCGCAGCCCTTCTGGCCATCCTAATGGATGGTGCCCCAGCCACAGAGATGCTTGGGAGCACTGGCCTTTCCCCGCCTGCGTGTGGATCTGCTGCATGGGCACGCTGAGTGGGAGAGCGGGTGTCCAGGCTGCCTGACGTCCACTCTGGGTCAGACGAAGCCAGCTGAGGGCCCTGGGTGAGGACATGACAGTGACACTGGCTCTGGAGGAGGCCCAGGACACTGGCAGCCTGCCACCCTCAGCAGTGTACAGAGGAGCAGTGTTCTGACCAGGCGTCAGGATGGAGGGCAGCGTGGCTGGAGGTGAGTCTGGGGATGAGGTCATGAAGGAGCAAGTGGGGGAAGGGGGGGCTCTTTATAGCAAAACGCGGGGAGGTAAGTGGCTGCAGTTAGGACAAATTCCTGGAAATGTGAACATTTATTTACTTTGAATAAATAGTGAAGAGAAAGCCAGACACTGGAACATAACATTATTCCAAATGCAGAAAGCAACAGATGAAGGCAAGCTACTAGGAAAATCGGCTCAGACCCTACATTATGTTGCTGAAGTCTCCTAGCTCACTCAGAGACCCTACAACTGGAGCTGCTCTCTGAACTGGCCACTGTCCCCACAGCCTCTCTCCCCTGGACCTCAGAGGTGCCCACAGGGAAGGGAGAGTGTTGGGGTGAGAATCTGAAGCTGATTGGCCCACTTGCTCTGCTCTCTGTGGATACCCYAGCCCACCATTCTGCCCAGGCCCAGGGGGGGGGGGAGGCAGATGGGCACTCACACACAGGGCCACCTGCCTGCAGCTCTGGAGGAACTGGTGGCAGAGAGAACAGGCAGCGTGCAATGTCAAGGACCATTGTGTGAGAAAGCACAGGAACGGGCTGCAGCTCGGAGGTGGAGGCTGCTTCTCTGGGGTRCACTGCAGGGCCGCCCTCTGGCAGTCTCTTTTCTGCAGGGCTTCTCCCTCCTCTGGTGGCCCCACTTACAGGGCCTGAGTGGATGTCCCTGTGCATCACACCCCATGGCTGTTCTCACACCTGGGCCCCCAGAGGTTTGTTGTGCCCTGGTCCCTGCCAGACCCCCAACAAAAATCATTTGTGTGCTACCCAGAACCGTCTGTGGCAAATCAGTAGGAGAAACACCACCTGCTCGCTCAGCAGGGCGGGAGACTGCTGGGACCTGGCAGGGTATGGAGGAGGTGGCTGCAGCACGGCAGAGCCAGACGTCTACCTGACGAAGGCCGCAATGGCCACCACCTGAAGGGCAGCCTCCAGGCCGTGGAGCACCAGGAGTCCAGCACTGAGGATGGCGTCCGCCCAGAGCACCAGGGTCTGCCAGAGCATAAAGTGGATGGAGAGCAGGCCGCTGCCCACTGTGAGGGCCAGGCTGGCAGCCAGGGGCCCCTCAGCCTCTGTCAAGTTGCCCTGTGTGCCTGAAGAGCAAGCAGATGAGAGTGAGGTGTGGTAGGGCATGGGCCTGGGGCAGGACCCACCACCCAGTCCTGGTCCTGCTGAGGACAGCACAAGCCACAGCTCACTGTGGCCACCCCCAGAGCTGGTGCCTGCCTGACCCTCTGGCCAGCGGTGGGTGTGGGGCAGACTTTGGTATCTGAAACCATGGGCATCTGCCACCCTTTTGCATTTAAAACTTCCAAAAACATTTTACTAAAGCCAGTTCTGGAAAATGTCATGAAGACTTACAAAAACAGAACTGCACATTTACAGACCAATGGGCCAGTCATGGAAAATGCCYGTCCCAAGTTGCCACCAGCTGACCCCAGCAGCTCAGGTGCCCCAAGGGCCCTTAGGGCCAGCAGCCCCCTGCAGGCCAGACCCTAGGAATGCACAAACATGGTGTCCACACCCTCCAAGCAGCAGAGCTGCCCTCCTGAGGGCTACACTAGCATCTGCACTGTCTGTGCTGGCAGCTGCATGACATGCTGCCCCTGCCCCACGGGATCCCAGATCTGACGCAAGAAGAAGGTCAGGGGCCAGCCTCCCCTCACCTGGACTTCCTATCATGTCCTGGTCACCAGGGGCTGGGGTATGCATGAGGGCCTGAGGTTGGCACCTGGCAGTGCAGCATGCCTAGACATGCCCATTCCTGTGCCCACAGCAGGGCAGTGTGAAGGGTACAATCCATCCCCAGACAGACACCCTCATTGTGTGTGTCTAGGACCAAGCCCACAGGAAGGGCACAGCGGGGCTGGAAGCCTGGACCTTGCTGGTCTTGGTGGTCAGCTATGGGGTGGGGGAGGAGGTTTTGTGCTCTATCTCTACACCCCTCGAGTTCTGTTCAAGAGCATACAGTGTGAACTGTGCAGTTGAAGAGGGAGTGGCCAAGAGGCCACTGGAGGAAGTAGCACCTGGATCCCAGCCCGACTGGAAAGGCTGGGCTTTCTGGGGACCTGCTGAGCTCCCCAGACGACCCAGGGAAGGACAGAGGGTGCAGGGGTATTCAGGAGCCCTGGCTCTGACAGGTAGGCTGTTCTGCTCTYATGTGCTTCTAGATGGGAGCACACACAAGTATCACCTGTCCTCRGGATGGAGCTTCTAAACCAGCAGTTAGTGATAGCGTAAGGTGATATTGCATCACACCTAGGCAACAGCCTCCGCCCACTAGTCTGACTGAAGACCTCACCCAGAACTGCACCAAGGGGTCACATCCAAAGGTTCAGTGCTCGAGACAGCACTTGTCACAGCTGGAATGCATCCGCCCCAACACTCACCCAGGCACAGCCGAACTGCTTCCAGGACCCCCATCAGCAGGAGTAGAGTCAGGTCGAAGACCAGGCGGTGCCAAGGATAGCTGAACACCTGACCTAGGACCAGCAGCCTCGGGTCAGCTTGAGCAGCAGTGGGCTCCGGGGCCTGCCTCACACTCCCGACTTACCTTTATAGATGATCATCAGGAGCGTGGCTAGGAAGTACAGGGCGTAGTACAGCCCGCTGAGGTGAGAGAGTACTTGGAGGGGGACTGAGGAGAGCTGGTGTGTGGTCAAGGATCTGCAAGCTGGCAGACTGGGGCACACCCTTCCTGCTGCCCAAGTCAGAGGGGCTGGCTCTGTCATCTTTCCCAGGGACACACTAGCAGGTCCAGTTTAGGCTCTTGCAGATGGGCCCCCACAGGTGGCCATGGAGACACAGCTGCTGGCTCCCTGCCTGTAGGGGCTTCCATTGTGCTATGGGCCCCCAGTGGGCATGAGGGCCCCCTCCCATCCCCGCAGAGCTCATGGTGTAAGCACCAGTGCCTTGTGGCTGCAGGGAGAGTGGCGGGAGCTTTCGCACACTAGTGGTCCCTGGTGACACCACCATGACCCTAGTTACAAGGGAGAAAAAGGAGCCTTTTGTTCATTTTACTTGGAGAAAACCTATTCCTCACTTTGGGGCAGCTAAATATCCACTGGCAATTTCCTGATCTCTGAACACTTGATATTTGGAGGGAGGGGTTTCACTCTGTGCCACAGGAATGCCACCTGGCCCAGTGGGAGGTGAGGAGCTACCAGCTGAGCTGGCGGATGGGTGCAGAGCCCACCTGCCCCATTAGAGGAAGTTATGTCAGCTCTCTGAACCTCCCTCCTGAGAGCTCATCAGGATTTAAGGAGAGGTGGGGTAGGGCGTGGGAAGAGCAAAGGGGCAGAGAGCTGGCCACAAGAGGTCAGCAATCCAGCCATGTGGGGTCCCTTCAGGAGCCAGCACTGGCCTGGGGAAGCAGGATGCAGCAGCAGCAGGATACCCCCGCGGAGAAGCCTCTGCCTGGAAGAGAGAGGGTGGTCAGTGAGTTCTTTCGGAATGCTTTCCCGGACCTCGCTCGGCAACACGGGGTCCCTCATATCCTCTTTTGATCTCATATTCATGGAAGGAAGTGACCAGTGACTATCGTAGTGGGCCTGCAGCTAGGTCCTTGCCCTCACACTTCAGGGAAGCAAACACCTCCCAACAAAACCAAATGGTAGCTTCTGTCTAGTGTGGTCTGTGCGTTTGCCCGAGGCGTGCAATCAGATGGATGCCTTTTGTGTTATGAGTCATTGTTTTCCACGTTTGATCAGACATTCACCTTCCTCTGCAATATTTTCACTTTCCAAAATCTATCCCCAGGAAGGAGAAAGAATGTCCTAAACCAGCCCTCCAGTGGCAGAGTCCCTTGGGCCAGCCCCACTCCCTCTGTGCTCTTGGCTTCTGTCTTGGGGTGACACAAGAGGGGTAAGGGAGGCCTACTTAGTCCTGGACTCTGAGGTACTGAGTTCAAAGATCCCTCTGCCTTGCTGCTGCATGGAATATGAGCCAGCCAGACTGCCGGGCTTAAGAGGCTCACACCAGTGCTTCCATGGTACAAGCATAGATGCCTCTATACGTGTGTGCACACGTATAAAAATTCAGAATTTGGATCAACTCTTCTATAAAGTCACTGTACTGCTAGGCAGCCCTTGGTGTCATTTCCTCTGTAGTCCAGGGAGGGCAAGTCTCAGCTTTGGTGAGATTTGTGGGCGATCTAATTTCTTGGGCAGATTGGGACCCTTTGTGCCAGAGCTGTGGACTTTAAAGAGGGCAAGAGTCATACATTGGTCAACCACAGGGCATTAGTAACAGACTCTGGGCAGGGCTCCTAGCAGACACGTGTGGGAGCAGGAAGCCAAAACAGAGTGACAGAGTTGTATTACATTTCTGTAAGGCTCTTTAAACCCGATATGTTCTTTTCCAAGCCTCAGCTACACTAGGCTACCTAGATACCTRTTATTATTTTGGTTGGTTTCACATTAATTGAGGTTCTCCTCCCTCCTGACCCTTTTCTTAAAAGTTAAGTATCAGGGCTGTGGCTCAGTGATAGAGCACTTGCCTGTCATGTCAAGGCCCTGAGTTCAATCCCCAGCACTGCAACAAACAAACAAACAAAACCAAATAAAATCAAAGAAACTATCTGAAATCTGAAACATTTCAGGCATCAAGTGTATCTGCTAGTTCCCTGATGTTAAATTGAAAGGTGTTTCCTTTTTATAGGGATTTCCTTTTTACCACAGAAGTTAGTCAGGTTATAGGAATCAGAGCTAGTCCCAGATCCAGTGGTGGCTAGGTGGCCCCAGCCTACAAGCCTGGTGGTGCTGCAACTCAGCAACATACCTACAACTTGTTCCATGCAGGGATATTGGGGGAAAAGGAGAGAGGGACACACAAGCCTGCACTGGCTGAGAGCTTCTCACCTAGGCTGACGCCCTGGTTCAGCCAGCTCACATGCCCTTTGGCCCAGGGACCCCAGGCTCCTGAGCTTCAGATGCTGCCACTACACAGTGGGAACCACATCCACTTCTTGCTGCCCTTGGCTCCCACTGTGTCACAGATGTGCACAGTTGTGCCAGAAGTGAGCTGCAGGGTACCATAGGGGTGCTAGGGTGAACCACAGGTGTACAGCGTGTGTGTGGGTGCTGGGGTGAGATGCAGCTGTGCGCGGGGGGTGAGAGGGGTGCTGGGGCGAGCAGCAGGTGTTCCCCGGGGTGAGAGGGGTGCTGGGGTGAGCAGCAGGTGTTCCCCGGGGCGAGTGGGGTACTGGGGTGAGCAGCAGGTATGCCTGGGGGGCGAGTGAGGTGCTGGGGTGAGCAGCTGCTGTGCCTAGGGAATGAGAGGGGTGCTAGGGTGAACAGCAGGTGTGCCTGGGGGATGAGAGGGGTGCTAGGGTGAACAGCAGGAGTGCCCAGGGGCGAGTGGGGCACTGGGGTGAGCAGCAGGTATGCCTGGGGGATGAGAGGGGTGCTAGGGTGAACAGGTGTGCCAGGGGGAGAGTGGGGTGCT